GAAGCGAGTCCGTTGGTCGGCGCTCTCGTTCTGTTGAGTCCTTCCGGGCCTCTCACCCCCTTCTCCGGATGCCCACACCGGTGCCTGAGCTGAGAAGAGGCTGGGCGGAGGGCGAGGGGCAACGGGGTCCCCAGAGCCGGACCTGAGTTGCCCGAGAGCCGATAGGTGGGGCGCCCCGCGGGACTGCAGAACCGGGACAGTCGCCCGGTGCCGGGACTCGGTGGACTGGAGCGCCACAGCCTCGGAGCAAGACCGCAACGCCCGGGTCCCCGCAAAAGGGAAGACCTCCATCTTTGTCACCCCGAGGCCTGGCCAGGGTCGGGAAAAGTTAGGCGGAGGGAAGTTGGGCGCGCAGAGAAAGCCGCCGGAGGGTGCTTGAGAAGGGGTCGGGGCGCCGGGCTCTCTGCCGGCTGCCCGGGGGCGCCGGCCCGGGCGGCCCCGCAGCTCCGCCGCGCCGTCGGATCGCCGCGCAGGCCGGCCCGAGGCTCGCAGGCGGGGAGAAGGGCCGGGCCGGGCGGCCGGGGCAACCCCCCCCCCTCCGCGAGCCCGGAGGGAGCGGCCGTGCGCGCCCGCCCGCTCTTTCTTTTTCGCGTCCCTCCCTCCGCTGCCCCCGCCCTCGCTCCCTATTTGGAGCGGAGACACCCCTGACGTCGGAGCCGCTCCGCTCGCCGCTCCCCCGCACCGCGCGCCCGCCCGGGGCCGCAGACGGCGCGCAGCGCAGCCCAGCCGAGCCTCGCGGGGCCGCCGCCAGCCCTGCCGGCCGCCTCCCGAGCCTCCCGGGGGCGCCGGGCCTGCCGCCCCCCGCGGCCCGCAGACAGCTCCGCGGGAACCGGCGGGCGCGCCGCGCTCCTCGCCGCCGCCGCAGCCGCCGCCGCCGCCGCCGCCGCGCGCGGTAAGTCCCGCCCGGGCCGGCACGCGGGCGCCCGGCTTCCAGAGGCTTCGGCCAAAGGGGCAGCGCCGCGCCCCCGGCCCGCCCGGCGGCCCCGGGACACGGTGCGGAGGCGCCTCCGGACGCCGGGGCTGGGGACGTAGGCGCGGCACGGGGTGGCTGGGGGCACCGCTGCGCTCCGAGCCCGTCCCCGGACTCGCCGGGGGTTTCCGTCGCTTGGTGAGAGTTTCGGCGGCCGGGAGAGGAAGGGAGGGAGGTGCGTGGCGAGCGCACGCCGGGCGGGTCGAGGGCGGGTCGGGCCGCGCGGGCGCCGGGGCAGCGGCCGGAGGTCGGCCGCGGGGCTCGCGCGTCTTCCCGGCTCTGCCCGGGCCTCGCCGCGCCGCGAGCCTCTCCGCTGCGGTACGTTTCTGCCTCCTTTTTGTCTCGCTCCCTGTCTTTCTGTCTCCCCATCCGACTGCCCGTGTCTCTCGTTTCTCTGTTTCCGTCCCCCTCTCTGTTCGGTCCCTTTCTTTCTGTTTCTTCTCCCCTTCTGCCTTCGTGTTCAGCCTCCCTGGGTTTATGCCTTTATGTTCTCTCTGTCTCTCCGTTCTGCCCCTCTGGGAGGGGGTACCTTTGTGTCTGTGCATCCCCCTGACCCCCCACTCTCAAATTCAGACAGTCCCCCAGTGTCAGAGGCACGACCCCCCCCAGTGGGGTTCATGAATAGTTTCCTAGACCCGGTAAAAGACGCGTAAACCCTCCCCCTACCTTCCGCCTGCCCCCGGGGCCTGGCCTGGGTCATCCCCCTGGAATTGAGTCTGGGGCAGAGGGAGCCAGCCTTTCCGGGGGCTCAGGGGGCTCAGTTTTCTTAAGAATTCCACCCCCGCGAGGCGGCCCGGACAGCGGGGCCCCGCTGCCGGCCACCTGCCCGCCCCGCTCCCTGGGCGGGGCGATTCTGATCTTTTACAAGCCGCTGTAAAGGGGGCAGCTGCCCGCCTTGGCCTGGCCAGGGGGTTGGCAGACATCAGGGGAGAAGGGCACATTTTCAGGCTTTCTGAGGCCCTCGCCCAGCTGGAGGACACCAGCCTGTAACTACGGGAACTCCAGGGAAACAGAGGTCAGGGCTGGAGGCCAAAGGCTGGGCGCTGGCTGGGGAGGGGAGTGGGGAAGCAATTTGTCAACAAGGAGCCCCTCACCCTTTGTTACTGTTGAAACCCCCAGCCTCCAGAAACTCCCCCCAGATGCTGGGGCTGTTTGGGTGTGGTTTGCCTTTAGTTGGGGCCAAAGAAAAGGCAAGACTGGATCATTTCCTTGGTGACCCTTGCCCCTCTCCCCCCCACCCCTGCAAGCTGGACCTCTTTCTCCTGGGCCTGCGCCTGGGAGGGGTGGATGGGGGGGAGTAGGTGGTCTGCATTAGCCACGGGTATATCCTCATTCTTTTCAAGTGAGATTTCAGACTGAGTTTGGCTCTTTCTCCCCACCCCCAGCCCCAAGGGTTGGAGGCTGCAGTGGGCAGGGATGCCGGTGAGGTCTGCAGTGGGACTTCTGCTGAGCAGATGTGCGGCGGGCCCTGCAGCAGCTCATTAGCATAGATTTGTTTTGGAGACAGTTTTGGGTCTGTGGGCAGGAGGGTCTGCAGGTGGGAGAGCCGTGGCCTGGGGCGGGGGGCATGGGGGGGAGTGGTTTGCTGTGGCCCGGAAGCGGGACCTGCCTGTTAGAGGCGGGCAGGCCTTGGGAGCATGGGCCTGGCTCTGGGCGTCCACCCCCCAGGACAGTTAGTTCATGCTCTGCCAGCGCCTAGGGCCGAGGGGAGGAAGGAAGCCACCCCGCGGTGAGACTGGGGTCACGGAATCACAGTGGCCTTAAGCAACATGCTGGAGCCAGACTGCACTTGAGGGAATCTGCTTAAATGGACCTTCCCAGGCCATGCTCGCTCTTCTGGAGGGGACCAGTGTGGGGCTCGGGGAGGCAACGCAAATGTTCAGGGGCTCTGTCTGTAACTCTTAGACTTTACCGCGCCCGGGGACACAGTGAGTCAATGGATGGGCTTGGGCCTGAACTTGTCCAAGGGCAAGTCCAAGAGCGGGCCCAGTAGAGCCTACTGAGAGGAGTGGGGCTGGGGTCTGACGCCTTTTGGCCAGCGTCCCAGAGCAACCTTTCCAGCTGCACCATTCAAGGAAGTCCCTGCGCTCCTTCCAAGACCTGCAGGGACTGCCCCACCCTGGCTGAGCCCAAGCCTGGGGCTGCGGCCACAGAGGCCACGCCCTCCGCACCCGCTGGTGGGGACAGCCTGGCAGCCAGGCCCAGCCTGATTTCTCCTGGGTGGGTCCGAGGGGGCTGATCTCTCCAAGACCCTGTCCGTTCAGTCAGTGGCCCCAGAATGAGAGTCGGAGGGGTTCTTCCTCTCGGCTCCCACCCTGGCCAGTCCGTGTGGGAGGCAGCACTCAACGGTTTATAAAACCCTTTCTAAGACATCATCTCCTATGGTTGAGTTTCCCGTAAATCCACTCTCACCAGGGCAGCTGCAACCCCGGATTTGGTTATTTTCAGGACCCGCCCAGGATCTGATGGGAGGAGGTGAGGGAGAGGGGAGGGAGAAGGGCATCCTGTGGGAGGCGGGGAGAGGGTGGGGGCAAAGTTGGGGGACCCCAGGCTAGCCCTAGGGGTGACATTACTGAGGCTTTATCCTGTGGCAGCTGCCCTCTGCAGACCTTTCTGCGCACTCCGTGTGCCCACCTTACAGATGAGGAAATGGAAGCACAGAAAGTTTAAGTTGGCGGAGGTAGGATGTGAACCTGGGTCTGTGGCCGTCCGTGCCGGGGAACCCAGAGAGTGCTCTGTGCATATGTGGACAGGGAAAGCAGGAGGGGGTGGGCTGGGGTCATCTGTTCTGATCACTTCGAGAGCAACACACCACACACACCACGGGCTTGGTGTGTCAATCACCGTGTCGCCCAGATGCTGGGCCCATAGGCAGAAGTCTCTGTCCGACTCAGGTGGGGCTGTAGGCGGGAAGGGTGCCCAGGAGAGGTTACGGAAGCAGGAGTTGAAGTGGGGGAGATCCTTGCCACCGGGGATTTGCCAGCCCTGGCCTCACCTGCTTCCACACCAGGCTGGTTGCTACAAACGGTTACACCAGGGGCCTGTGTGTGTATGTGACTGGTGGGGAGTGGACCTTTCTAGCAAGAAAATCCTGGCATATGTGGCCTGAATATTCAGATTTGCCCTAAAGAGGAAACGGGCAGCGACTGTTCACTTCTTACACAATATAGGCTTTGCGAAGGGGTTCACAGTGGGGGTGGGTGGGCTGGAGGGCTCCCTGGAAATCTGGGTCCCTCCAGTGACTTGAACACTTCGTTCCAGGCCCTGGAATCCAGGCAGCAGGGTGGGTGGCTCCCGTCAGCAGTGCTGTTATGGGGGTCCCTGCCTTGGGGAGTTTGGGGGGCCATAGCTCCTGACCTGGCTGGGCCTCAGAATCATGTGGGAGTGTCGTCGATGTTGCCCGGACCACAGCCTGGACCTGTAGGGTCAGAAAATGCAGCGCTGGGGCCTGGGGAATGTGGGCTTTGGCAAGCATCTCTGGGAAAATGCTGAGTTCTGGGCGCTGCGGAAACGAGAGGGGGGACCCTGAAGGCCCAACCACGGAACATGTTCTTGCTGCCCCTCCCCCAGCCCCTCCCCGGGGACCTTTTGAATGAAGGATCCCGAGAAAGCCCCCCTCCCCCGGCTTTGCTGTGTTTGTCCACTGCCCTCTTCTCTAGAACGAGAAAGGTGGACACTCACCTCCTTGGTCTGTGCCTCAGTTTCCACAGTGCTGGCTGGGGTCCGCCAGCGACCCCTCCTCTCCCCCCAGGGAATTTTCTGTGTCGTTGGCAGCCTCGGGATGTGTCTGGTGTTTGCATAAGGCCTCTGAGGATCTGGGGGGGTTGGATCTAGGCTCCGCAGGGGGGCTGGTGAGAAGGCACTCACCCCCCACTGAAATCTTGCCACGACTGGAGGCTGGCCTGTATCAGACCTTTCCTGAGGTGCCAAGGTCCCAGGGGTCGGCCCTGGCTGCACTGTTGTCAGTGGCGGGGTGTGTGTGTGTGTGTGTGTGTGTGTGTGTGAGGGTGTGTGAGGGTGTGTGTGGGGGCGGTCTCATGGGCTGTAGAGTCAGGAGTGGAACTTGAACTCTGCTCCCAGGTAGTGCGAATAAGGATAAGAGACGCAGCCTGCTGGGGCAGGGAGCCCCAGGTCTCTTGCCAACTTCGGACCCTTCCCTGGACACCTCGTCCTGTTTCTGGATTTATCCTCCGGGAGCCTTCCCGTCTGCAAAGGTAGCTGGTGCTTATCTTGCTGCTGTCCATGTTCAAGTCTTGGTGTTGGTCAGTCCTTATCTTGTAAGCTTGAGCAAATCTCTTAATCTTCCCATGCCTCAGTTTCCTCCTCTATAGAATGGGGGAGCTAGTAGTAGCTATCTCACAGGTGGTTGTAAGGACCGCACAAATGCATACACGTTAAAAGCACCCAGAACGGTGTCTGGCCCGTTAGCACCAACTCTTGCTCTGAGACAGGTGGGGCATGGGCCGGGCTCTTAGTAATAAAGCCCCTCTCCTTGCTTTTGCGAGTGCGGTCCCCTCAGCCGGGAGCTCCCTCCTCTCCCCGTCATTGGTAACTCACCGCAAATCCTGAATTAAATCCAGAATTAATGGAGTGCCTGGGTGGCTCAGTTGGTTAAGCATCTGCCTTTGGCTCCAGTCACGATCTCAGGGTCCTGGAAATGAGCCCTGCCTTGGGCTCCCTGCTCAGTGGGGAGTCTGCTTCTCCCTCTCCCTCTGCCTCTCCCCCCTGCTTGTGCTCTCTCACTCTCTCAAATAAATTCTTTAAAATAAATAAATCCAGAATTAAGAATCTCTCCTTCCCTGCACCCCAGTCCTCTCTGACTTCCCATCTGAACAACTGCTTCCGTGAAACCCCATTTCCTTCAACCTCCCCCTCTAGGCTCTGAGCTCTGAGCGGGCATAGCGTCTGGGCCTCCAGCTCCCCTGGCCTCCCCTTGGCCTCCGTCTTCCCCACCACCTAGGAAGTGCTTAATGGACTGAGCGTTAAACTGTGGGGAACTTCATGCTTCACGGGAAGGGCACCGCTTGGCCCGACTTGCTGGGGGACCTTGGGGATGACCCCTTTGCAAAGCAAGGGGGTGGAGGGTTGTTGGCGTGGGGGAATCCCTCTGCCCACCGTGGCATTCTAGGAGTCCCATGACTTGCAGTGTGATCTTCAGGGAGGGAAGAAGAGATGAGAATCTGTGGGTGAGGCTCTTGTCTGAGGAAGGAAGGTCCGACTGCTGTCTAGAAAAATTAGCTGAGCATAAACCAAAAATAAAGAAAACCTGTGAGCTGCCCCGCCTTCCCTGCACTCTCCCAGGGGATGGGGACCCGACTGAGCTGGGGGCCCGCTGACTGCCTCCTCCAAGTCCTTCTCCCCAGCGGTGCTGTGCTCCCATCTTAGGGTAGGGGCAAGTAGGTGCAGAGAGGTCAGCTTTATTTCTGGAAGTCACACAGCTCCTAGGTGGGAAGGCCAGACTTGAACCAGGGGACTCTGGGGGCCATGCTTGGGGTGGGAGCAGGGCCGCCAGTCTAGGTAAGCAGACAGTGGCTCCAGCTTGCTCTGAGGTCCTGGGTGCTGGCAGGTTGGCTAACGGGACCCCCCACTCTCCCCCTCTGGGCCCTGCTGGATTAGCTCTGGACTGTGTCCTGGAGAGCAAGATTCCCCTTTCACTATAACCTGAACCTAATAACCAGTCCCCATGCTCCAGGCCCGTGACTCCCCTAAAACCTCACCACTACCCTGTCCCTCAATAAGCCTTGTTATTAACCTCACCCCTGTCTCAGCTCTGCCCCCCTTTAGCCTGGTCCAGGCCCACGGCTGCCATTCCAAAACCGCCCCCCCCCAATCACCTGCAAAGCAGATCCACAGGGCTCAGGGCTACTTCCACACCATCCCAGCCTCAACTCCCAGTCACCTTCTGCCTGGCCCGATCTTCCTGAGGAATCGTCACAGGGTCAGGGAGAAGACAAAGTGCCCAGACCTGCCTGAGGTCTTTGAGGGAGCTCTGGCCTCGGGGTGTGGGTGGGGGGTCCCTGCGGGGCTCCTTGTGGTGTGCTGTGATCAGACCCCGACTCCAAGTCTGATTCCCCAGGCACGGAAGAGGACCCAGTGGGGTCAGGGAGCCTTCTGGATGCCCCGCTGGTTGAAAAATTAGTTGGGCTGCCAGTTAGGAACGAGTCCGTTCTATTTTGTTAGGATGTGGTTGTACTGAAAACACGGGTTCGCTGTCGGTCTTGTGAGTGAGACCGGAAATATGTGGGTGAGAGCCAGGGTCATGACACAAATGCAATTGGGACTGGGCAGGCTGTCCCAACTCACCTCCTACTGCTCTCCCTGCTTCACCCCTCCCCGCTGGCTGGGAGCAGGGGTCACCCAGGCGTTGGGGTCCAGTGAGATGGGACTCAGCTCTGCTTCTGGAGACCTCCTGCAGGGAGAAGGGGCTGAGCAGGACTTTCTGGGTGGAGGGGACATGGGGCTGTGGAGGTGTTCCCAGCCCTGCAGGGGGCCCGGGCCCTCTCCTAGAGCACAGCTGAGCCAGCCCACCTAGGTCTTCCCTGGAGTAACAGGCAAGACCCCCAACACCACCCCCTTTCTGGACGCTTCACCAAGGAGGCTGACTGAGGGTAGGATCGTTCAGAAAGGATATGTTCCCACTCTAGTGCTGGGTGTCTGTGGGACAGCACCTGGCCCCTGATCCCGACTCGGCCATGCCCATACCCCGCTTGGGACCGTCCCAAGGCATGGAATCCCGGACTGACTGAGCTGGACCAGTTCTCCATGTCAGAGGCACCTTGGAAGCTTGCTAGAAAATTCGCAGCCCCGCTTGGCCCTAGAACTTCACTCCAGAAGTCCGTAGGGAACTCGGGATTCTTATGATCTGCTGACTTTGGCATCCAGTGTCCAGGGCACCTCACTCATTTTAGAGGTGGGGACACCGAGGCCTGGGTGTCCAGGGTCGTACAGCAGGTGCAGACTCCCAGATCCCCATTCAACACACCCTTTCCCATGTCCTGTCCCCAGAGCACCCCCTTGCAGGCCTGGCCCTCATTTCCAAGTCGCTCTGAAGCCTCCCTCTTCCACACGTTTGGAGGTCGGGGAGACGGCAAAGCCTAGGGAGGCTGAAGTCGGGGAACACTGGGAGAGCCCCCTCTGAGAGCAATCCTTCGGACACATGCTGCCCTGCAGCGCCATCTTCCGGCCAGTTCTGGTATTACCGTCTCCTTCCATCCCGTCAGACGCTGGTCTTGCCTTGGAGATTGGGATGGTACTGGGGATAAATAAAGATGTATGTATAGACTCAGGACTTGCGGCTCTGGTGGGGGATCCAAAAAAGAAATAGCCTGGTCCGGGGTTAGCTTTTTCATCGGACGCCCAGCCAGCCAAGGTGGCCCAGGAAGTCACAGTGCTGGACAGAGGAGGTTAGCTTTCCTGGTAGTTGACATGCAGGCGGTGTGCCCAGGAGATGCGCTGCGTGGCCAGCCCCTCGAGGGCAGGCACTGTGTTTCCTGGGCAAGCTTGTGTGTTTGCCAGAGGCCCTGAAGCATCACAGTCCTCTGCCATCCCGTCTCGCCATCCCCATTTCTTGGATGAAGAAACTGAGGCACAGACATAGAAAGGAACTTGCTCAAAGCTGCACAGTAGGGTTGCAGAGTAGCACCCGCAGAGCATGCATTATGGGCTAGTCTCACCGCTGGGGGCTCTCGTAACCTCCTGGGCGTCCATGGCACGTGCATGTGTTAGTGGCTCCACTGTCGAGGTTCAGAAAGGACAAATAAACGGGTCCAAGGTTGTGTTTTGCTGGTAAGCGGTAGAGCTAGGGCTCGAACCCAGGCAGTCGGATGGCAGAGTCCGTGCTTGTCATGCCGCCGTCCCCTCTGTCCACGGGGCCTCTGGGCCCCACCGGCCTCACCTGCAGTCTGTGCTCAGTCCTAGGGCCCTAGAGGCCACGGGCACGATGCTTCGGGTCCTGGTGGGGGCCGTCCTCCCCGCAATGCTGCTGGCCGCTCCACCGCCCATCAACAAGCTGGCACTGTTCCCGGACAAGAGCGCCTGGTGTGAGGCCAAGAACATCACCCAGATCGTGGGCCACAGCGGCTGCGAGGCCAAGTCCATCCAGAACAGGTGCGGGGCAGGGGCAGTGGGCAGAGGGGCAGAAGACGGGGCAGCCCATCCCCGCCGCTGCAGCGGTGTCACGGGCACAGTGACCTCTCCTCCTGCAGGGCGTGCCTAGGACAGTGCTTCAGTTACAGCGTTCCCAACACCTTCCCGCAGTCTACGGAGTCCCTGGTTCACTGCGACTCCTGCATGCCGGCCCAGTCCATGTGGGAGATCGTGAGTACTGCTGCCCGCCCCTGTCTGCCTGGGCCTCGGCCGCAGGGCCCACCGGTCAGGCCCCGCCATGTACAGGGGCCGAGAATTGTGCTGGGGCTCCAAACGTGGCCCTTGCCACGGGATGGCTTATGTGTCTGACACCAATATGTACTGGACAAGAGCTCTTCCTGCAGCTCCATTCTGATGTCAGTCCCACAGTGAAATTCTTTCTGTGGTTTCTTCCTCTTTTAAGATGAGACCCAATCCTCGCTGTGTCCCGCAGTGGCCAGCGTGGCCTGGCTCCCCAGTGTCTTGAGCTCTGTCTCGCCTCCCTCATCTTTTTTACTTGCTTGACATTTGACATCAGTGTGCTTTCTTTCAACTCTCATAGCTGCTCTGCGTGGTACAACCACAGGGCCTTTGGATGTGCTCTTTCCCCTGTTTGGAATACCTCTCTTCTCCTTACTCACTTAACATCTATTCATTCTCCTGCTCTTGGCTCAGCAGCATTTTCAGGGCCCTTTCTTATCCCCCTGAGCACTGTGTGCGTCTGCTTTGACATCTGTCCCCTCACAGTTTTCCATCTGCATTTGGGTGATTGTGACAAGTCTGCTTCCCTCGTTAGACTCTGAATTCTTTGCAGGACCATGCCTATCCTTATGTCCCCAGCACTGGCAGGGAGTAGGTGCTTTGTGGAAGGAAGGAGGGAGAAAAGGGGAAGAAAGATGGAAAAAGGGAGAGCTGTTGGAAAAGTGTGAATTAGGAGAAAAGCAAGACCCTGCAGGGTCCAGTAGGGCAGACCTAGGCTGGGCTGTGGCTTTGAGATGGGGCTCTTTGAGGGTGTGATGTCGGAACGCCACCCCAAAGGTTAAGTGGAAGTCAAGTGGGCGATTTGGGGGCAGGTGGTCTGGGGTGGGTTAGGTGAGGACCTTCCAGGTGGAGGGAACAGCATGTGCAAAGTCTCGGGCTGATCAGGCAGCTTAGACTTGGTGGGAGTGACACGAGATCAGGGATGGAGAGGTCAGCCAGAGGCCACCTGAAGGTCCTGGGGAGGGGGCTTGGTAAGGAGTCTGGACTTTTCTTCAAGTCCACTGAGGTGGACTGTGGACAGGGGCAGGCCCCGTTGGATTTCTCCCCTCAGGCTGCTGTGAGGGAATGGGTAGGGAGGGGGCAGGACAGGTTGTGAGGAGACGAGTCGGGTGGCTCCTGTGGCGGCTTGCCCTCCTCCCTGTGGAGGGGCCTGCAGAGCTAACTGGGGTACCCCCCAGGCAGGCTCAGGCATTCTGGGGTCTCTGGGACTGTCGGTCCCATGAGGAGTGTTGTTGCCCGTGGGGCCTCTGGAAACATGTCCTCCCTTCTCTGCTGTCCTCTGCAGGTGACCTTGGAGTGTCCCGGCCACGAGGAGGTGCCCCGGGTGGACAAGCTGGTGGAGAAGATCGTGCACTGTAGCTGCCAGGCATGTGGCAAGGAGCCCAGCCATGGGCTGAGCGTCTACATGCAAGGCGAGGACACGCCAGGCTCCCAGCCGGGCACCCGTCCCCACCCCCACCCAGGCGGGCAGACCCCCGAGCCCGAGGATCCCCCCGGGGCCCCCCACGTGGAGGAAGAGGGGGCTGAGGACTGAGGCCCCAACTCCTCCTCCCCTCTCGTCCCCTGTGGAATGTTGGGTCTCACCCTTGGGGGAGCGGTGGGGAGAAAGGCCGGAGCCCCCCTTTGGCACTGGATGGACTTGGATTCAGACTTGGACTTGGAACGCTTTCCGGTTGCCGTGGAGATCTGAAGGGAGGGGTTGGGACCAAGCTGCACAATTTAATATATTCAAGAGTGAGGGGAGGTAGCAGAGGTCTTCAGGGTTCTTTTTCAGAGGGGGGGGTGGTTCTCTTCCTTTCTGCCTCCTAGAGATATGCCTTTGGGAGCAGGAAGAGGTTGGCTAAGCTGCTGAGGTGGGTGTGAGGTCCTCACCACCCTGGTGGGGCAGGGCCCCTGGGGTACAGATGGTGGAGCGGGGACCCTGGACCGAGGGTCGGTGCCTTGCCAGCAGTAGCCTTGAGGAAGGGGCTGGGTCCAGGCTAGGAAGACCACTGGCAGAAGCTCGAGCCCCATAGGTTTCCCCAAAGGTCTCTCGTCCCCAGGAGAGCTTCTCCCCATTGGCACCAAAATGGCCCTCCCTCAATGGTGTGCTTGGGAGTCAGGTCTGGGCAGGACCCTGCTGACTCATGGCCCTGGAGCTGGGAGGACTTTCTGGCTTCCTTGGCTTTCCAGGGGGTGGAGGAAGGCAAGGGAGGAGCCTACCTGGGCCAGGGGGAGGGGAGGACTCCCAGACCATCCCTGGAGTATCCCTCACCCTCCCTCTCCAAGATGGTAGTACCTCCCACTGCCCCCCCAAGTCTTGGGCGGAAAACTGATGGAGCTAGCCTTCCCCCTCCTGGGGAGCTCTTTCTAAATCTGAAGGTGGTGGGCGGGCGGGGGGGGGCGCTCCAAGGAGGGATCTGGGTGGGATAGACTCTGGCTGAGCCTCAAGAAACCAGGAAGAGGAGGGGGGAGGGCTCATGGCGGCCAGTGTCCCCACAGCTCTCCAGCACCCAGTTCTACCTATCACCCCCCTCCCAGCTGCACTTTAACCCAGAGGGCAGTGGGGTTCTGGGGACAGGGCAAGCAGGCGGGCCGTGAAGAACGCCTCGGTACCCACACCCGCCTGTGTCTGCCCTTCTGTCCCCAGGGCGGCGGTCAGCTCCCCTGGCCCCCCGGTCCACACTCCCGGCTATTCCGACAAGGGCTTCTGGAGCTTGTAACCAGCAGATTGTTTCCCTGAGTTTTCTCATGAATAAATTTCCTTCAATGCTTGTGTTCTCTTCCTCACTGGGTGCCTCTGCTGACCCAGAGTCCCCGAAGGGGTCCTCAGCAAGGCCTGGGGGAGGGGGTCAGGCTGCGCAGTGAGGAGCCCCTAGTGGCCCTCCCACTTTGCTGCCGTGGTGTGCCTGTGGCTGCTGCCTCCTTGGCTCCCACCTCCCTCCTTGGGCGCCCATGTCTGGCCTCGGATATACCTTGGGTGGGCCTCCAGACCAGGCGCTTTTCATCTTGACCCTTGGGCCCTTTGGGCTTAGCTCATGCCATCTGTTCCCCCTCCCAGGGACCCAATATCAGCCCTTTCCTGGACCCCCGTCTAGTCTGACCTGGTAGAAGGGGAAAGAGACAAAGCCAGCGGTTATAAAGGAATATACAAGTTTGGGTGCTGTGCTAAGTACTCTACACAAAGTCACTCGCTTAATCCTCAGCACCAGCCTGTGATGCAGACATTGGCCCGCACTGTACAGAGGAGGCGGCCAAAGTGGGGAGGGATTGCGTCATCTGTCCAGGGCAGCATGGTTGAAAGACGGCAGCCACAGGACTCGAGCCCAGGCCTGACCCTGCTCTCAGCGGTTGTCATTTGTACGTATCCTGCTGTGTGCCAGGTGGGTGCCTGACCACCTCCCAGGGACCGGGGGATTTGGGATCATTACCCCCAGGCCATTGGGTCCCCCCAATTCTCCATCATTGAGACACAGCAGGGCTGGTGGGGTGGGTGAGGGCCCAGACCCTTTGTTCCTCACCCATATTGCTGTGAACACCACATACCAGACAATTCACATATATTACTACTAATCCACAGAAAATCCATTTTTTGGAATCGAGTGCTCTTATGCCCTGGGAGTGCTGTGCACGGGCCGGTAAGCAGCGGCGCCCAGAGTCTAATCTTGCGCCCTCTAGCGACAACGGTGCTGTACCACACGCGCGATTTCCTCAGCGGACACTGCCTTCCCAGAGCATGGCTGCTCTGGGCTGTTGTGCAGATTGTGCACTTCCCGGCTCCGGAATGGCGTTTCTTGCCGTTGTGCGGACGTAGCCATCCACCCGGGCCCTACGTCCCTGACGTGGAGTTGGATTGGAGAGAAGTAGATCTCCTGCATGCAGACTCAGTGACTCCTAGTCTGGTAGGGACAAGCCCTGGTCATATTAACAGCCATTCCGTACGTCTGGAGGTGAGGCCTGGCCCAAGGATGCAGAGAAGATGCTGCGGGGCTTCCAAGGACTCAGAGAACACGTCCAAATGCAGGGCTTCCTGGGGCCTTGGACGCGGTGCTCAGAACCTGGAGCCTGGAGGAGCTCAGAACCAAGCACCGTGCTGGCAGGATGAATCTTGGGTCAGGAGCCGCCTCCATCCTGTGTATGGAACCAGGCAGGGTAGACATATAAAGAAATTAAGAGGCTCATTGGAAAGAAAGCAGGAAGATGGGTTGGCGTGGCTGGTGGCAGGTGTGCAATGCTAGCCAGAGTTCAGACTTCATTCTTCTTGCAGTAAGAGCCCCGGAGGGCTCTGCACAGAGCTGGGTTTCCCAGAGAATGGAGACGGATGGTGGTGACTGCAATAGTCCGGGCAGGAGATAGAGACCAGAGACCACAGAGACCAGAATTGAGTGGGGCCTTGGGGAGGCGGGGCCAGGTTGGAGAGGAGCCGCTGATTGGATGCAGGAGCAGCAAATGGGAGGAGCCAGATTTGAATGCTGACGTCTCTTGTGCCAGCCTGCCATTGGGCATGGGATGGGAAGTAGTGACTTCGCTTTTCCTTGCCAACCTCAAGCTGAACCACCAAGAGAGCCCAGAAAAAAACATTTCAGGTCCTCCTCTGCCCTTCGCTCCCTCCCCTGCTCCCCGCCCCACAACAATGGTAGAAAGATCTTAAAATCTTTACGAGGGATTAACACCGAAAGCACAGGCTCCTCTCGGCAAGGGCGGGTAAGTAATTAGCAGCAGCTTCCCCTCCTTGTGTGCCTACATGGAGCCTACAACTCCCAGCTCGTTTTCTTCCCGGGCTCCAAGCCTCTGGAAATATCCAGTCAGCCTGGGTTTAAATTCAGGCTGGACCACTTCCTAGCTGTGTAATCTTGAGCAGGTCAAACTCCCCAGGCTCAGTTTGCCCATCTGCAAAACAGGGACTAATGATCACACCTCCTTTAACTCCCAGGGTCATGGTGAGCTTTACCTAAATGAATGTGCGAGTGGAGTTTGGAACAGTGCCTGGCATGTAGTAAGGACACATGGCTGACTCAGTCCACAGAGCATGTGACTCTTGATCTCAGGATCCTGAGTTCAAGCTCCATGCTGGGTGCAGAGCTTACATTACAGAATAAAACCCACACACAAGAGCAAAATGCCGGCTGTTCCTCTAATTATTGAGAACGAAGATTGGGTCCCAACTGCTGGTGGCTGGACTGAGAGTTTTGCTCATTCATTCATTGAACAGATGTTTATTGAGAGCCCATTATGTGCTGAGGATAGAGCAGTGAACAAAACAGACAAATCCCCGGCGTCATGGAATTTAGGCAGTTAATCCGTGAGAGCGGCTTTGAGCAGGCTTCACGGCCTCTCTGGCTCTCGGTTTCTACATCTCCATAATGCGGAGCTCCGGTGGGCATGGAGGTCCAGGCCAAAGGCCTTCTGAAGAGTCACCTGTTCCACTGTGACATCAGCCTTCTCCTCCAGAGAGGGAACTCCCCGTGGCTAGAAGTAATCAGGCAAAGGCTGAGGATCCCTGGAGGCCCCTCTCTACCCTGAAAGGTTAAGGAAGTCTGGGGCTTTATTATTCCGCAACAGATAAAATAAACTTGCGAGTACAGACATGGAATTTTTGAAAAGTTCTTAAATTCATGATAATAGTGTGGCCACAAGGTGGCGCCACCACCCAGGCCCAATCTTGAAAAAGAAAAAGAAAAAAAAAGAAAACGATAAGTTAAGGGGCGCCTGTGTAGCCCAGTGGGTTAAGCATCTCATGCTTGGTTTCGGCTCAGGTAGTGATTTCAGGGTCATGAGATTGAGCCCCTGTTGGGCTCCATGCTCAGTGGGGAGTCTGCTTGAGGCTCTCTCTCTCTCTCTGCCCCTCCCTCCCAAACCCGTGTGCACGCTCTCTCTCAAATAAATAAATGAATCTTTTAAAAAATTATAGTTAAGCACAGATCACAATATAACAAACGTCTGTGAACCTGTCACCCAGAATGAACAAATATGAACAAATTTGTCCTGTTTTCTTTAGGCCTTTAAAAAAAAAATAAATGAGGTCCCTGAGTCTGCAGAGCTGGTAAGCAACAGCAGTGGGATCCCAAATCTGGTCTTTATGATTCTCAGCCTAGTGCCTGGTATCCTGTCCTTCGGGGCATGGCAGAAATTGTCACAGGGGTGTCACATGGGAGGGAGGACAGTTCTCCCTTTCCTGCTGCCTAGACCCATCTGTAGACCCTACGACTGGGACTCTGGGCCCCAAACAGTGGCTTGGGGGCGGGTGGGGTGCTGCAAGGTCGTGAGGTTTTGTCTTGAGTGTTGGGCAATCCTGAGTTTCAGTTCCACTTGGTCTCTTGCTCCTGGTGGACCTTGGGTGAGGCCCCTGGACTCTCTGAGCCCACTGCTTAACACCTACCTATCCGCATTATTGTAGTGGTAGGAATCAGAGAATAAAACCCCTGGGACATCACAGGAATCTTTTACATGGGGCTATGAATTTTCTCTTTCTGCGGAGGGAAAAAGGCCCCCTTCCCCTTCAGACTCCCTTTATGTTGCTTTTCATTTTCTTTTTTTTTTTCTTTCTTTTAAAAAATATTTTATTTGACAGAGAGAAACACAGCGAAAGAGGGAGCACAGGCAGGGGGCAGAGGGAGAGTGAGAAGCAGGCTTCCTACTGAACAGGGAGCCCCATGTGGGGCTTGATCCCAGGACCCTGGGATCATGACCTCCGCTGAAGGCAGACGCCTAATGACTGAGCCATCCAGGCGCCCCTCTTTTTTTTTTTTTTTTTCCCCCTATAGCTGGGATCCCTTTAGGATGACTTTACAAGTCTGTTACGCTTATTGTTAATTGTCTGTCTCCTTCCACTAGAAGGAAACTCCACGAAGCTGGATCTTAGTTGTGGTTACTGTAGTGCCCTGACTGGCCAGAACACTGCCCAATATCTAGTAGGTGCTCAATAAATGTTTGTTGAGTGAATGAATGGAATCCACAGTACTGATCTGTGAAGCGTCTGGTAGAGACTCCTTTTTTTTTTTTTTTTTAAGATTTTATTTATTTATGACACAGAGAGAGAGCGAGAAAAGGAACACAAGAGGGGGGAGTGGGAGAGGGAGAAGCAGGCCTGCTGAGCAGGGAGCCCGATACAGGGCTCCCTCTCAGGACACTGGGATCATGACCCCAGAGGAAGGCAGACGCTTAATGAGTGAGCCACCCAGGCGCCCCCGGTACAAACTCTCCTTCGCTAGCGGGGAGAGAGCACGATCAGGGGGTGCTCCCCCTCTACCTGCAGTGCCTCTACCCCATCTGGCCTAGGGATTCCCAAATCTGTTCACACTCTGTGTTAGACTAGGAGGACTAACCCATCAGACTTCATCCTTCATGTCTGGTGCTGTCGGGGAATGTTAGGTTTCTGCTCAAAGGATCCCGAGGAGGAGGTAACCTGCTGTTTAAAGGTTCGAAAAAAGCTATATGGGTTGTTATATATTATGTATACTATTAGATACATGTACATATGTGTGTGTACGTGTGTGTGTACACATTTGGGTGTCAAGCGAGCTCCCCGGTAGCTCCCGCTAGACTGCGGACGGGCAGCTCCCCCACTGGGGAGCAGTCCTAGACGAAGGCAGCCACAGCCCCTCCTCTGAGTTCCTCCTGCGCGGCTGCCACGTCAGGTGGGAGAGGGGTGTGCGGGGGCGCAGGGACTGTGGAGGCTGCGACCCGGAGGTGGGAGGACTCCGCGTGCGGCGGGGCGGGGGCTCGGTTCTCCCCGCCCACCGCGGGGCGGGGCGGGGCGCAGGCTCCGCGGCTCGGGGACCGCGCGCTCCTGGAAGCGCCACCCGCTCCTCCGCGGTGCGGGCCCCTAGCGGTGCCTCCCGGGCTTCCTGGGCGCCTGCCCGGCCCGCGGCCGCCTCCTGCTTCCCCAGCCCTGCGGGGCCTGCCGCAGTCGCAGGCAGCGGAGCAGCGCGGAGCGCCCAGGTACCGAGCGCGGGCGGGAGCAGGGCCGGGGACCCCGCGGCCGCGCGGCCGCTGCTGCTGCTCCTGTCCCGGCGGGCTGGCCGGGCATCCTCCCGCATGCCGCAGGGGGCCGTAGTCGCCCAAGCCCGGGCTGCCTCTGCGCCGGCTCGGAGACCTGCTTTCTCCACCGAGGGCTTTGCTGTGGCTGACCGGCCCCCGCCCTGCCACCCCAAGTAACCGCGGCTCCCGACCTAGCGCCCGGGTACAGCCACCTGCCGCGGAGGGGGCTGCTCCCTGCGGAGCGCGCTCGTTCGTCCCAGCTCCCGGCTCCTCAGGTCCCCGCCCCAGGCACGCGTCCCCGCCCCTCCCTTGCCGCACTTCCCTCTAGGGGCCTCTGCCCCCTCCCGTTCAACCTCCCAGTCACCTGCCTGTCCCTGACTTCCCGCCTGCTCTCTCTCGGGGACTCTGCACCTCATCAGGTACCCCCTTCCAAATCCCTACCGTTTGCTCCGTGTCCCCACCTCACACCATATAACCCCTCTCCATCTTCCTTGGCTCGTTGCCCCTTGACCTAGTGCCCCTGTCCCTCTCTTCCCACCTGACCCTTGGTGGCGGTCCATTCTCACTGACGACGCCCACCCAGCCTCTGCTCAGGTCCCTCCCTCAGGCCTCCCGCGCATCCCACCTCGTCCTCCGGACCCCCTCGGGCCTGACGTCCTGGCCCTCCGCCCTCCGCCCCCCGCCCCCATGGTCCCCGAGCCCGGCCCCGCCAACCACAGCACCCCGGACTGGGAGTCGGGGCCGCCGTCGCACCCCGCGGGCAGCGGCTGGGTGGCGGCCGCGCTGTGCGTGGTCATCGTGCTGACGGCGGCGGCCAACTCGCTGCTCATCGCGCTCATCTGCACGCAGCCGGCGCTGCGCAACACGTCCAACTTCTTCCTGGTGTCGCTCTTCACGTCCGACCTGATGGTGGGGCTGGTGGTGATGCCGCCCGCCATGCTGAACGCGCTGTACGGGCGCTGGGTGCTGGCGCGCGGCCTCTGCCTGCTCTGGGCCGCCTTCGACGTGATGTGCTGCAGCGCCTCCATCCTCAACCTCTGCCTCATCAGCCTGGACCGCTACCTGCTCATCCTCTCGCCGCTGAGCTACAAGCTGCGCATGACGCCGCCGCGCGCCCTGGGGCTCGTCCTGGGCGCCTGGAGCCTGGCCGCGCTCGCTTCCTTCCTGCCCCTGCTGCTGGGCTGGCACCAGCTGGGCCGCGCGCGGGCCCCTGCCCCGGGCCAGTGCCGCCTGCTGGCCAGCCTGCCCTTTGTCCTCGTGGCGTCGGGTCTCACGTTCTTCCTGCCCTCGGGCGCCATCTGCTACACCTACTGCAGGATCCTGCTGGCGGCGCACAAGCAGGCGGTACAGGTGGCCTCGCTCACGACCGGTGCGGCCGGCCAGGCCTTGGAGACGCTGCAGGTACCTGGGACGCGCAGGGAGACCCGGGCTTAGGGGATGGAGAGCAATGAGCAGCCGCTGGGTGCCCACAGGGCATCCATCACTTAATATATACACTTGCTGGTGACCTCCAAGTGGCCATTTCCAACACACCCGACTCTTCTGCGCTCTAGACTCAGTGCTGACTGTCCCCAGGACAGCTCTGCCAGCATGTGGGGTTGGCTTCCAGAAGGTAACATGGGCCAAGGGAATTCTGGGTGTCCCCCCTCCCCACCTGCTCCTCCCCCTGTCTTTCCCATCATGTCAAATGGCACCATCAGGGCATCACCCCGCAGAAACTTAGGAATAATTTCTCTCCCTCATGCTCATGGGGTTCATTATCAAGGCCTGTTGGTGCTGTCCTCCCGAACACGCCCCACTTCCAAGGCCACCCTCCTCCAGCAGCCCACCATTGCTTCTTTCCTGGAAGCCGTCACTAGTCTCCTGCCGGCTTCCCCTGCTTCCGCTCCAGACTCACTCGGGTTGACTCTCTGCCCGGGAGCCAGCGCTTGACAAAACAGAAGTGGTCCTGTCTCTCTTAAGATAAAAGCGGAGACCCCTGTTGGGATCCGGCCTGGGAATGTGCCCCTGCCAAGCTCTCCAGCTTCACCTCCTCCCCTTGCCCTCTCTTCCTCTGCACCAGCCCTTCTGATGTTTCTGGAAGGCACCAGACTACAGTCGGTGTCCAGGACTTGGTATCGCTGTTCCCTCTCTGCCTGGCCGGCTCTTCCCCCGGGACTGTCCTGCCTGCTTCCTTTTCAGCTCACAGGTCACCTCTTCCCAGTGTCTGTCCTGGAACACCCTGTCTGCAGATCGTCTAAGCTCCCTCACCCTGTTATTCTCTATCCCAACCACAGGTTTATGTGTTGAATTGGTCATTGTCTATCTCCCCCACGAGAGTGTAAGCTGGGCGCATCCGGTGTGGTTTTGATCCCCATTGTACATCCTGGGTGCTCACTAATGACTTGTGAGTGCTAAGGCCCTGTGGTGTCTGGAGTAGGGTAGGCTGCTCTTGTCACTCGGGCCATATGGCACCCGAGTCTTACTGTCCATTGTTCTAAACCCCCAAAGAATGGGGCTTTAGCTTGACCAGGCCTGAGGCGCAGAGAATTAGGGGCAGGCCCTGAGGAAGGTCCTGAGGGCTTCTCCGGTCTGGGGGAGGAGCCTCCTGCAGGATGGGAGGTACTGGGGGTTTGTGTGGACGGGGGCTGAAAGGCAGGCCCTGGGAGAGCTTGCCTGACACCGCCCCCCACCCCCAGACCCTGCGGCCTGGAGCTGCAGCTGCCCTATCAACCAGGGGGACAGGACTTCAGTGAACCCGAGGTCAAGGCTGCAGTCCTACTCCCTCCCTCTGTCTGTGCACACTGGACAACATTCCTGAATCCCAGTAGGTGGCTGAGACCCTCACTTGGTTCTCCAGCAGTAGGAAGGCCGCCCTGGGCCATGCACCCTCTCCCCCTGGGTTCTTGTAAAGGAGCGTTTCCCAAACTGGAGGCATCTGGAACCACGTGGGACTTTCTGCCTTCTCTCCACCCACCCACGCGCCTCAGGCGGCTCCCTTCTTCTGTATTTTGCATATTTCTCTCCACTGCCTCACTTATCTTTTTCCTTCCATGCCTTGGTTTAGAAAGGACCCTTCTTATCTCTTCCAGAAATGGAAACTCTGTACCTTGGCCATAAACAGAAGGTGGTCCTAAAGACAGCTGCCGCGCACCCTTCAGGAACCCCAGCTGTGTTGCTGGAGTTTGGAGGGGAGGTCCGAGGGGCCCAGTCCCAGGCCCGCTTTCTCTTTGGTGCTAGCGGGTTGTTAAAGACTGAGCGGCATCAACACCCACTTTCTCTTGACACAACCAGAAAAGGAGCTGGGAGAGTGCTGGAAAAGTCTCATGTTCTCGCTCTGTCATTGAGTTCTGTCACGGGTCATCTTATGCTCCCGCACCTCGGGGAGCTCTGCGCAAGTGACCAAGGATGTGAGGAGGTGGCTGTTCTTGGTGAGGTTGGGGTGGGATGGGTCTGGATTCTCCGTGCCAGTGGTACCCACGACACAATTTCTGTCCCTGAGGCTAACTGGCTCGTGCCGGGATTGGACCTAAGACTGTGGCCCGGAGCCCCAGGGTGCCGACCGCTACAGTCCCACAGTTTCTCTGTGCCTGCCACGTGCTGACACTGGGCTAAGCTTGTCCCCCAAACACCCACCATCATCCCCATGGGGCAGATGGGGAGACTGGGGTTCTGAAAGAGGGGAGGGGTCTGGCCCCTCCACTTCCCAACCACTCAGCTCCTTAGCCGGCCTCCTGTATGCCTGCTTTCTTCATTGTCTGCTCAACTGCCTGCATTTTGGGATTTTGTTCCTGGAACATGGCCTCTCCTCCATTTTCCTGGGTCACAACCCCTTTCCTTCCACCCAAGCTGGCCTGTCCCAGAGTCTAGGCTTCCAGCCGGGCAGTGGAAGCTCCAGTGCCTGGACTAAAGGAACTGATGAAAATGAACAAAACTTGGGGTGCATTGGACCCTTTTCCTCCAGTCCTCAGCCCTACATAGCCCTGAGCTCCCTTCCCCAGTCTGGCTGCTAGCTTCTCCGCAGGGGACGGGTGGGGGCATATGGGTTTCTGAAGCCCCAGAGCCTCTGGGTTTGAGGGCATGGTAACTGAGCAGGCTCGAGTATTTTAATCTCTCCTCCCACCCCCCACATTGGCCTACTTGTGTGAACCGGCTTTTCAGAAGCCACTGGTTAGCTCAGCGGTCTCAGCCGGGGCTTCCTGGCCCTGCGGCTGTGAGGTAGGGGTCTTACTGCCAGCTGCAGCAGAGACTGGGCTGGGATGAAGAGCAGGGCACGGGGAGAGTGGTTTCAGAGTGAGTGAGATGCTGCCAGTGTAGGGGAGAGAGGGAGAGAGAGACGTGCAGAGATCTGTGCCGGGGCGGGACGCTGCTCGCCCTCGGGAGGGACCAGTGTGGGAGGTCAGCGATGGAGAGCAGCAGGGGAGAAGGAGGTCTGCCGGGTGCCTGCCTCCCCAGCCTCTTTGTCTCTGTGTCAGGACCTGTGCCTTTGGTCTGGAGCCCTTTACCCACCGCCTTCCTCTGCACATCATCTTCCTCTCCTTCTCCCACCCTTCTCTCCTCCAGGTCCACCTCACCTTCTTCTCCGCTTTCTACATCCTCCCATCTGCCTCTCCCCCTTCTCTCCATCAGTTTCCCCTCCTCTCCTCCTCCACCAGCCTTTTCCACCCTCCCTCACCCAACTCCGCATCACTTTATCTTAGCGATCTGTCTTCCCTTCCATTGCTGTCCTTCCTCCTCAGAGGAGGAGGCTGTGATCACAGAAATATCTCAGAGGGGGAGGAGGGGGCTGAGCTGGGGAGAGGCTGACAGAGCAGCGAGGCTGAGCATGGCAGACTGGGCTGCTGATGGGAACAAGGGGGTCTGGGGCAGCCAGAGCTGGCTGTAGGAGCTTGGGCATCCGGCTGGTCAGGGGTTCAAATCCTGCTTCCAACACTGCTGACGACTTTGGACAAGCCACTCAGCTCCCGCTACCCCAGGGGCAATGCCACCTATGACTTGGGGCTGTTCGAAGGATCGGCGAGACAACGTATGTCAGCCTGGCACACAATAGGTGCTCAGCATGTGTTTGTTCCTCCCCTTTCCTCTCGGTGGTGAGATACGTGGTTCTGGAGAAATCATCCCTCTGAGTCTCTTTAGGGAAAAAAAAACACCTCCGTTGCTGCCAATAACAGCATCATCACCAGAATCAAAGAGCTGAGCTGGACTCTAACAACAGAAATGCTGGCTGACGCTTCCATGGGGCTTACTGTGTGCCAGGCTCGGATCAGCTGACTCTGTGCGTGCTACCTTCGCTAGTCCTTACTACAACCCTGTGGGGCGGATGCCCCTGTGATGGCCATTTTACAGATGAGACAGCTGAGGCACAGAGAGGTGAAACTCCTTACCTGGGGTCACACAGCCAGTTAGTAACAGAGCCAGGATTTGAAACCAGACCGTCTGGCTCCAGAGTCTGTCTTAGAACCCTCACACTACAAGTAGGTGATTATAAAAATTTTGAATTATACAGGGGAATACATAAATACACTTTAAAATAAAAATCCAGAGGGTGCCTGTCTGGCTCAGTTGATAGACCATGTGGCTCTTGATCTTGGAGTCGTGAGTTCAAGCCCCACATTGGGTGTAGAACCTACTTAAAAAAATAGATAAGGGGCGCCTGGGTGGCTCAGTGGGTTAAGCAGCTGCCTTCGGCTCAGGTCATGATCTCAGGGTCCTGGGATTGAGTCCCGCATCGGGCTCTCTGCTCAGCGGGGAGCCTGCTTCCCTCTCTCTCTCTCTCTCTCTGCCTGCCTCTCCGTCTACTTGTGATCTCTCTCTGTCAAATAAATAAATAAAATCTTTATAAAAAAATAGATAAAAAATTTTAAAACTATCCAGCCATAGAGATAAAGTGAAAGAACCTCCCAAGTCCCACCCAGCTACCTTCGATTCCTAGGGATATTCTTACTGATTTAGGATGTGTCTTTCCACTCCTGTGTGTGTGTGTGTGTGTGTGTTTCCATGTTTGTTTATGTATCCAAAGAGACTTAGTGCTTTGTTTTGTGTATTTTTTTATTTTTATTTTTTTACTTAAAAATATATTTTTAAAGATTTTATTTATTTATTTATTTGAGAGAGAGTGAGTGAGAGCGTGAACGCACACAAGCGGGGGAGAGGGAGAAGCAGGCTCCCCGCTGAGCACGGAGTCCAAGGCGGGGCTCGATCCCATGAATCTGGGATCATGACCCGAGCTGAAGGCAGATGCTTAACCAACTGAGCCACCAGGCACCCCTGTTTTGTGTAATTTTAAAGCAAATGGAGTCCTGTTGTACCTACTATTTTGCAACTTGCCTTTACCACTTAATATCGGTATTATGTCTTGGAGATCTTGTCATTTGGCCAATTATATTCTTGGAAACATCTGTGTGTCATCTATAATGGGAAGGTACGATGGTTTATTTAACTGCCATCTTTCCGTGCACATTTTGGCTGTTTCCATTTTTTTCCAGGAATAGTGTTGCCATACACATGTCTGTGTATGCCGAGTGTACAGATGTGCTTGGATATTTATCGTACGGGGAACCTGTCTGTGCGACTGCCTCCTGGGGAGGCACTGCCAGCCTGTCACCCAGGCGGCTGCCCTCGGCAGTGGTAGGGGCGTGCAAACAACAGCACATGGCCGCGAGGGCAGAGAGAAGAGGGCAGTGGCAGCTGGCATGAGCTAGACCTCAGGGTGAGGCTGGCGGCTGCCACTGGCCTCTGCCCCATGAGGGCCTCTGCGACAGTGCTGGGGTTTCTGTAACCCCCCGCATGCAAGCAATTTCTGGAGCTAGGAATGCAATTTCTGGAGCTAGGAATGACTTTGAATCCCAACTCAGCCCTTATCTGCTGTGTGGCTGCTGGCAAGTTCTTTTGCCTCTCTGAACCTTATCGGCAAAATGGGGATACTAATACCTTCCTCACGTCAAGGCTGAATGGCACGAGGAAGATCAGATGCTGACACACAGTAATGCTCCCTAAATGTAGACAAAGTGCTGATTGGGGTCACTTGGGGTGCTTTGCTTTGAGGCCTTGTGCTGGGACAGTGTGACCTGGGGAAGGTCCCCTATCCTCTCTGAGCCTTGGTTTCCTTCTCTCTTCCCTTCTGCCTGTGTTCTTGGGTCATATCTTTGGGGGAGAAGAAGAGAAAGAAAAACCCAGGTTTCTCCCAGGAAGATTCCTAGAGAGGGAACTTGAGGCTATCTTTAATTCCTTCTCTGGAGCTCCTTTCCCAGTGATTGCCTCCCACCCAGATATCTCTCCAGGGTCTCAGTTCCCCAGTGCCCTAGAGCTCTGACAAGATCAGGGCTGTCTCTTGCCCCGCCCAGGTTGCCAGAGGTCAGGGGGGTACCGGCGTGAGTGGCTCCTCTGGAGATGGTGGCTCGCTCCTTCCCTATCATCTGTCCCCATCGATGGCAGCAATGTGAGAGCATGGCAGATCTTTGGGGGAAGCAGGAGGCTCTCCAGGCTGACCATGGTGGGGCCAAAGGAGCCATACAGAGTCTACCCTGGGAGGGAGAAAAGGAGACAATGAAAGAGAAGAGCAGAGCCTTTCTCCCTCCCTAGTTAAAGCATGGTGAGTCAGAGCGTTTGTCCTGACATCTGTGCTGCTTTGGGGAGCCTGAGCTGCTAGCAGAAGGACGGGGCTCCTGAGGGTGCTCAAAATTCCCCCAGCCTCCAACACACAGCACTGAACCGACCTCAGGGCTACTGTGTATGTAGCACTTAACTCCGTGTCAGGCACTGTGCATGCATTTATTATCCAAAGCCTCACAACGACTCCACAAGCTGAGTATTGTTTTTCCCATTTTACAGATGTGGAAACAGAGACTGTCTCAAGATCACAGAGCGAGTAAGTGGTAGAGGCATGACTTGAAGCCAGATCACTTGTCTTACAAGTCCAGCTCTTGCCTCTGCACAAGGCGGCCCCACCAAGAAGGAGGGGAGAAATCAAAGGCTTCTCTTAGGCTGTGCTTTGTGAATTTGTCTTTGGTATTCATATAACCAGATTTCACCTGGATAAACATACTGAGAGGTGGGAGTTACAGTGTGCTTCATCTCCCCGCTCCTGCCCACCGCCATTCTAGCGTCCTTAATCTTAAAGATAGATAGCATCTACCTGGGCTTTCAGCACCATGGACAGGACACCAAAGTCTGGATGCCCTGGGGAGGCAGGGAGACATGGGCAGGGCTGAAAGGGAGCCTCTCTACGCCAGAGCCGGGTGGGGGTTTGGCTTTGGTGCTCCCAGGACTAACACATCTTCTTGGCTTTGCCTCCTCCACCCCCTTTCCATCTGCGAAGGTTGCCTGGAAATCTGGTTCCCTTCCTGCCTCCTTCTGACTTTTTCAATTACTCTGTAATCAGCCCACCTCTGGCTCCCTCAAGAGCTAAGCTGGGCTCTCCTGCAGTATAGGAAATTTTGGAGGAGGGACACCTGGATGGCTCAGTTGGAGGAGCTTGCAACTGTGAGCTTGGGGCTGTGAGTTTGAGCCCCACGTTGGGTGTAGAGATTACTTAAAAATCTTTTTTGTTTAAGATCTTACTTATTTGGGGCACCTGGGTGGCTCAGTGGTTTAAGCCTCTACCTTCGGCTCAGGTCATGATCTCAGGGTCCTGGGATAGAGCCCCACATCGGGCTTTCTGCTCATCAGGGAGCTTTCTTCCCCCACCTCCTCTGTCTGCCTCTCTGCCTGCTTGTGATCTCTGTCTGTCAAATAAATAAATAAATAAAATCTTTTTTTAAAGAAAAGATTTTACTTATTTGTTTGACAGAGACAGAGAGAGAGAGAGAGAGAGAGAGATCATAAGTAGGCAGAGAGGCAGGCAGAGAGAGAGGGGTAAAGCAGGCTCCCTGCTGAGCAGAAAGCTTGATGTGGGGCTCGATCCCAGGACCCTGAGATCATGACCTGAGCCGAAGGCAGAGGCTTTAACCCACTGAGCCACCCAAGTGCCCCAAGATTACTTAAAAATTTTAGAAAGAAAGAAAGAAAGAGAAAAGAAAAGAAAGAAGGAAGGGTAAGAAAGAAAGGAAAAGAAAGGAAAGGAAGGAAGGAAGGAAGGAAGGAGAAAGAAAGAAAGAGTAGAGGAATCCCTCGCTTCTAAAGGCCAGGCATGGTCCCAGGCTACACATACGACCTTTACATAGTTCAATGAACTGTGCATACCTTGGCATACTGGTATTTACTTAAATTATAAATGTAAGTTGGTCTCACTTTGTGTAAAATTGGTGTATGAAAATCCAACTTGATTACAACATGCACTTTAGAGGGGGGCTTTTATGTCCCAGCTTTCGTGGGCATTGGGGGTTTCGTGGCCGGGCCTCGAGATGGTCTCTGAACCCACTGGAATTATGGGATGTTTTTTCCTTCTCTGTGTGTGCATGTGTAACAATTTATATGCTTTTTGTTTTCTGGGGAAATGTTTTGTAGATTGCATTGGATTCTCAGTGAGCTCAGGAGGTCGAAAAATTTGAGGTAAGAGCTGGCGAGAAGGATCGTCTAGTTCAGACCTTTTTAGTGTTTTGGAACTGCTGGTCACCAGTCTGCAAACTCAAATTCTTTTTTTCTTTTATAAGTGTCTTTTTTTTTTTTTAAAGATTTATTTATCTGACAAACAGAGATCACAAGTAGGCAGAGAGGCAGGCAGAGAAAGAGAGAGAGGAGAAAGCAGGCTCCCTGCCGAGCAGAGAGCCCAATGCGGGGCTCAATCCCAGGACCCCAGGATCATGACCTGAGCCGAAGGCAGAGGATATAACACATTGAGCCACCCAGGCGCCCCAGCAAACTCAAATTCTAACCTCCTCATGCCTGTGTCCCCTTCGACTGCTGCTGGGGGAAGCTCCTTTCTCCTTCTTTTCTTCCCCGTGCTCTAGCTCTTGAGGTCAATGTTTGGGAATGAAGATGTCTGTCAGTTCACAGTGTAATTTGAGTTGTACAATGCCGAGGTCACTAGCACCCCTAGGAGTCTAAAATGGATTTATTGCAAACATTTACTCTGTGCATGTGTTTTCAGAAAAGCACCGTATTCTGTGCGATGTAAGGGTAAGGGTGCAGGCAAAATCACTACTCCCAAATATGAGGGAAATCTCTCTATGAAGAGATTGCCACGTCCTGGGCAGTGGCACGGCCTCTTTTGTCAAGTATGGTTTAATTGCAACTAGTTGTTGAAGGGTCAAAGGCTTTGTGTGGTGCTGGGGCTCGTGGCCACATGTGTTGACTTGTACTGAGTGTTGTCCTTGGCGAGGTGGGCAGGGGCTCCCCTGAACTGATAGTGTTGGCTTTGTCTTACTATCCTTCCTAGAGCTCCTCGTGTCAGGGTCAGGGCTCAGTCTGTTGCTGAACTCAAGCCACAGTCTGGGCTAAGGCTGGGATCAGTGCTCTCCAGGGTCGTGGCTCCGTTTGAGACCTTGGTTACATAGGTCTCAATCTATGGCAACCATCCGGGCTTAGTCTGGGACCCTGAACAGGGCTTGGTTTCTTGCTGATGTCGGTGCGTGGTCTAGAGCCAGGATCAAGGTTCGCTCTGGAGTCAAGGTCAGTTCTGCTCTTGGGGAACCTAGGGCTATATAGCTGGGCCTCCGTCAAGGATCAGAAGGGCTCAGTTTATTGCTGGTACTAAGGCTCAGTCTAGAATTAGAATTGAGGCTTAGTCTGTGGCTGGGATCAGGGTCAGACTGGGGCTCTTCCTCAGGTAACTTATGGATGTGGCCTTCCTTCCACAGGTACCCAGGACCCCACGCCTGGGGATGGAGTCAGCTGATAGCAGACGTCTGGCCACCAAGCACAGCAGGAAGGCCTTGAAGGCCAGTTTGACACTGGGCATCCTGTTGGGCATGTTCTTTGTGACCTGGCTGCCCTTCTTTGTGGCCAACATAGCCCAGGTAATGCCACCACAGGGGGCAGGTGGGTCCAGGCCTTGCTGGGGAGGCCCCGACCTGCACCCCAGCCCAGACATGGGGATAAGAGGAGGGTGGGTTGCCTCTCAGGGCATATGTGTTTGTGGTGCCTCTCCCATCCATGCTGGCTGGGGTGGTCTGTGACCCTGCTCTGGGACCAAGCATGACGTACGCCATCTCTCCAGGCCGTGTGCGACTGCATCTCCCCAGAACTCTTCGATGTTCTCACGTGGCTGGGTTACTGTAACAGCACCATGAACCCCATCATCTACCCACTCTTCATGCGGGACTTCAAGCGGGCCCTGGGCAGGTTCCTGCCATGTTCCCGCTGCCTTGGGGAGCGCCGTGCCAGCCTCGCCTCGCCCTCTATGCGAACCTCTCACAGCGGCCCCCGGCCGGGCCTGAGCCTGCAGCACGTGCTGCCCCTGCCCCGGCCACCTGACTCCAATTCTGACTTGGGCTCAGCTTCCGGTGGTTCCTCCGGCCTGCAGCGCATGGCCCAGCCCCTGCTGCCTAGAGAGGCCCCCCCGGGAGCCCCCGGCCTTGGCCAGGGCTGCCGCGGTGGTCAGTTTCTTCAACATCGATCCCGTGGAGTCCCAGCTGCAGCTCCGTCCACTTGGGGCTCCCACGAACAGACCCGGGCTTGGAGCTGGTCGGTGGGGAGCTGTACTGGATAGAACCAAGTCCCCAAGGCCTTGGACCAGCTCTTGGCTAAGGCTGGGAGGCTGCGGGTATCCTGGGAGCCCTCGGAGGGTCAGCGGGGGCACTAAGCCAGCCCCTACTCCCCCCCGGGGGAAAATAGCTGGTTCAGACGGTTTTCTCCAGGATGCCCCACTGCCGAGTAAAACCCGTGCGTGTGTGTGGAGGTGGCTGGGGGACTCTGGCAGAGGGGAAAAGGACTTCTCGGTTCAACTTAGGGTGAAGACAATCATCTTTGACATTTCATGAGAGTGCAGGGGAGGGATGCCTCTGTCTGCAGAGGTGGATGAGGGCTGGGCTGGCTCCCTCATTCCTGAAAGTGTAGTCCTCGGGCCACCAGCATTTGTGTCACCTCCTTGGAGTTTGTTACAAATGCACACCCTGACCCCCCCACCCCCACCCAAGACCTGCTGCGTCAGAATCTGCATGTTAGCAGGAGCCCCCGGTGAACTGTGTGCACAGTGTAGTTTGAGACGTGCAGGTTTGGATGATCTTTAAGTGTGAGGATGATCTGTGTTCAGTCGGGACAGCGTCTCGGGGCGGGGTGGGTGGGTTGTGTGTGGAGCTGCACAGAACCTGACCTAGGAGTCAGGAAGACAGAAATTTGAATCTCCGCTCCAGTACTCACCAGCTCTTGCACAGGTCCCTTAACCTTTCTGAGCCTGGTGTTCCGTGTACAAGTGAGGGTAACAATGCCTGATCATAGGGTGTCGCAAGAATTAGGAGAGCACGTACAGACTACCTAGCACCCACAAGTAGTGCTGTAGGTGATACCTGCCGTTGTCACAACTCCCGGGCATCCAGCCCCCGTGGCCTCTCGCTGTGGGCCAGAAAGGGCTGTTTGTTCCCACTGTTTTTCCCGTTTCCCTCCTCCTCTTCAGGCCTGGCCCAGATCCCACCACCTGACTGCCCGTGGCTCCCCAGCTTCTTGCTCTGGATGCTGGACGGGACTCCCGTCCCCGGTCCCAGGCTGCTGCACCATCTCTCCTGGAGGGCAAAGTGGGAGCTGGTAGTTTCTTGCTCAGCACCAGGAATAGGTCTCCCTCCGTCCTGGACTTCCTTGGGCCTGGAAGGGAACCAGCTGATGGGGATACATCAGCCCAGGGCCCCACCTCCTCCTGGCATTGCCTGGGTCAGCCAGGGAAACAGGACTGGAGCCTGCTCAGGAACGCAGAGTGGAGTGCAAGAAGTGCAAGAAGTTGGTGTGGGTTGCTGCCCTCAGGCAGGTTGGTGAACCCTGGCATAGGGACCTGGGTTGCTTTTGAGGGGGACTCTTGGTTCCCACAGTTTACCTGCCATAAGGTCCTTTTCAGTCTGAGGCTCCCCGGATCCATCATCCCAAACTCCCAGGGAGCCCTCCACGCGTGGCCTGGCGCTCTCCTTGGTGCTGATTAGATTCAACTCTGGCCCCAGTCACTGGCCACAGAGGGGCCGTGGTGCTCTTTGGGGCTTCCCCTCTGCCCCAGGCCTGCCTGTGTGGACTCTCAATAAACACTAGCTGAGGCAGTGACCGTGGTGTGGACTGGATTTGCCTGAAGGGCCCCGGGGTTGGAGAAGCAGCTGGTGAAGCGGGATGAGACCCTGGGCAACGAGCTGTGTGGACTGGCAGAAGCGGGTCTATAAATATTTGTTGAATGAACAAGCAAACACACACATACGTGGGGACCCATTCAGCTCTAATATTCTAGTTCCTTCTGTAGTCTTCCACCGGGCTGCCTCCCCCGCCCCGCTCGGAGCTTGTCAATACTTCCTCTGCCTGGGCCCTGGCTTCCCCCATCTGCACAATGGAAGACAACTATCTCTGGCCTCTCATTCAAGGACAGTGGAAGGAACCCAGGAAGAGGCTCCCGGGGATACAGATACAGTGGCTGAGAGCCGGGCTCTGGAATCTGAGACTGACCAGCTGTGTGATCTTGAGCAGGTTAACTAATCTCTCTGGGTCTTAAGAACTTTCAGTAACATGAAGATAATAGCAGCGCCTCATCAGGTTAATGGTAGGGTCAGCTGAGACAGTCCATGTAAGCACTCTGTCCTAAATTCTCAATTATTATTTTTATTATAAGCATTGTCTCCCCTTCCTGCTATAGGAAATCCTTCCCCTGTGTAACTCATCCTTGTCACCGGGCCCACTTCCCACCCATAGTGTATGCTGACTCAGCATATATTCACCATGCTGTGACACTTACATACAGGGCGCCACATAGCACAACTGGGAGGACCCTTCACATCACATCCATGTGGTCCATGCTCCTGGGGTTCTGCAGTGCACAGCCTGCACAACTGTACAGGCACATCTGATTGCACATCCTCAGAGCAGTCAGTTGCTGGCTCCCCACCGGCACCCGCTCTGTAGGTGTATCAGTGGTGCTTGTGGGTTGGCGGGCAGCCCTGGTGTGTGGATGGAGGAGCAGGCATCTACCCAGATTTACTTGGGCTGGGAGAAGCCCCCTGGGCCCCCAAATGGCCAGCCAGCCCCCACAGCTGTGGCCTGAAATACAGGAAGCCCAAGGCTGATAGAGTCCTAGGGCTCTAAACTGTGCTGGTTGTCTCTGCAGGGCTCTGGCCTTCCTTCCTTGGGGAGGGAAAGCTGTCTATTTTTTGACTCCCCTCTTTCCAGTTCCTTTCTTTTCGGTCCCAAAGCCTTCAGCTTGGGAAAGGCACTGATGGAAATTCTGAGCTCACGTGGGGCAGCTGGTGGAGGGCTAAGGGAGTGCTACATGGAGGTACCTGGGAAGGCAGCTCAAGTCCCCTTCCATGGTCAGTCCAGCCCTGGGCAAGGCCCCTGGGTCTCGCTGGCACAATCGGGGCAGCCCAGTGGGTTGGGGCCCATGCCGTGGCTGCAGATCTTGGGGCTCTCAGCTGGGCTGGCAGCGGCAGGAAGCGAGGGTCCTTCACATTGGTCCAGCCCCGTTGGCGCCTGGGCTTGGCTAGGGTCGGTAGATATGGCCAGTTTGGGGTTGTCTCCGGGTGTGGCCTTGTCCGATGAGGAGGAGGCTGCTGCCTGGTGATGCTGCCCTTGGGGCAGATTGCCGGGAGCCAGCAGGAGCCCTGTTTCATCCCAGCCTGGCTTGGTGGGGATGCCCACAGTCTTCAGGATGACTTCCATCTGCTTGGCATAGTCTAAGTGGCCGCTGACCTGCAGGAGGACAGTGCGTGAGGGCCCCGGGGGGCGGTGGTCAGAGCCCTGCCCTCCCCAGAGCCCCCAGCTGAGCTCTCGGGCCTCACGCTCTCCCTCAGCAGCCTCAGCCACCCGGTCACCAATGCCAGGACTCCAGCTCTCAGTGACTCTCAAATCTAGTGGGGTGGGAAGCCTCTGGGTTCAGGACCACTCCAGAGCTCATTAAATAAAGGTGAAGGATGTTTCTCTATAAAATCTGGGTCCTTTGGGGCAGGAATCGTCACTAAGACAAGGTTGAGAACTCAGAAAGGCCTATCTTCTTCCTCAAAGGATAGAGATACCCCATTTTGTGCTGGGATGTGTCAGTGGGTGAAAAGTAGGGGAGACTGAGAACGTCCGATGCCTCACGGTGATCATGGACAATGCCCCAGGCGTATAGTATGTCCTTAACACATTGTAGATGAATTTATTGGAGACAGTCCGTTGACAGGTTTTGGCTGCTGACTGGAGCTGAAGGAATTGAGCCTTGGAGAGGTAAGGTCATATAGCTAGGACACGTCAGAGTTGGGTTTTAAATCTGGGCCTGTTCTCTTCACAGAAATGAGCTGGGGAGGGGAGGTTTGAAAACCACTGCCATGTTACCAAAGAGGAAAGCAATGTCCAGAGAGGGACGGTGGTTTGCTTAATGACACAACACGTGAAGAGCAAAGCCACATGGGGCTTGGGCATGAGATGATGCCTGGACAGTCTGCTCAGCTCAGATCTGCTCCTTAAATGCAGCCAAGAGCTCCTGCCACCAACGCGCCACCCCCCCCCCCCCCCCCCCCCCCCCCCCCCCCCGCCCCACCCCAACACTCAGTGCACAGGGTCTGCTTCAGTGCCAGAGGCAAGCGCAAGACAGAACATTCCTTTTTGTTTAGAAAGAAGGGTGGGGGGAAACACTGGGGACACTCTGGGAACCACACAAAGGCTCCGTTGATAACATCTGCATTTCCATTTGAATCACAAATCACACTGAGCTATTCAAATGAGTTTTCAAGAACGCAAGAAGACAATTCCCTGTATGGTTTTGTTACTTTCTCATAACCAGAGCCTGCTGACTTCTCCTTCCTTCCTTCTTTTTTTTTTTTTAAAGATTTTATTTATTTATTTGAGAGAGAGAAAGAGACAACACAAGCAGGAGGGGCAGAGGAGGAAGAGGAAGAGAGAGAATCCCAAGCAGACTCCAGGCCGAATGCTAAGCCTGACACGGGGCTCAATCTCACGACCCTGAGATCTTGACCTGAGCTGAAACCAAGAGTCAGACACTCAACTGACGGTGCCACCCAGGTGCCCCTCGTTCTTCACAAATGCTTTTAAACAGTGTTCAGTGAACACAGACCCGTACACACCCATATGAGGGACTTTTTAGATCCCTGGGTTCAGGGTGGAGGTTAAGGGGGGCAGTGTCTTCCCACAGAGGGTGGACATTACTGGCTGCGAGGCACTAGAAAGAACTTAAGCTTGGCATCAGAGAAACAGGGGCTCCAGCCTCAGCTTTCTCTTACTAGTAACTGGATGAGTCCTTACAATGTCCTGAACTCCAGCTTCTCCATCTGTAAAATGAGGATCAGGACACCTACCTTGAAAGTCTGCTACAAGAGTTCAAGGGCCCAGCACTTTGTAGGAATCAGCAATTGCGACTTCTAACTATTAAACTCCATATATGGCCCAAAACACTTTTACGGGGAAGTTACCCAATTAGAATTAGTCATACCTACCTCATGGGGTGGGTGGGAAGAAATAATACATACAAACCATGAGGTATAGCACCTGGCACATTGTCAGTGCTGCACAAACATGAGCTCCCTTGCCTCAGTGTCCTTGGAAGGGGCGATGGGGGACAAAGGGCAGGGCCTCAGCAGGGCTGATCCATTTGGGAACCCAAAATGGCTGCTGAAGCTCTAGCCATCACATCTCAATTCCTGCCAGCAGAAACCTAGACCCACAGGGACAGACAAGAACTGCTGAAGGGTTGGTGCTGGTCTGGGTGGAGGCAGACAGGACGGAAGGGAGATATTTGTGGGCACTGGCTGTGAACCTGATTCCAGGTGGAAATCCCACCAGGCAGCGCTTCTAGAATGCACGACTCTGGCCTTCTTTGGCTCCACGTTGGCCCACGTCTCGGCCAACCCTAGGCTCTGACCTGCCACTCTGCGAAGATGCAGGGGAACCACTCGTTGGCAGAGTTCCAGTTTTCCAGTTAGCCAAAGGGATGGGAGAGCCCAGGTGAGGCCAACTCATGAGTGGGAACAGAATCTCTTCTCAGTGGCGGGAAGGTCCACTGTGGCTGGTGTAGGACCATCTCCCCGGCTCTCTGGATGGAAATGGGCCACCCATCCGGATTCACACTGGGTGTCACTGGGGCTGAGAAGCCCCCCCTGACCTTTCCACGCTGGCTAGGGACCGTCCCTGGGGCTCCCTGGTGACAGTGCTTGCCGTACCCCATCGTCTTCATCTGCTCATGCAAACGAGGCAGCGCAGGGGCCACTTCCAACTCCCTTGGTGCCCACGACTGGCCCCGAGCAGCGCCACTTGCAAGGCACCGCAGGACTTGCCCAAACTGGGGCTGCTGTCCCCACCTCCGCCTGCCACCAATGCCTTCCAAGACTATCAGGCCCCCTTCGGGGTCCTTTCCTTCCTGGGCCTCTGTGTCCCCATCTGTAAAACGGGGCCAGTGAAGGCACTTGCACCATGTGTGTGGGGTGAGGAGTCAGGGAGCTGACACACGGGGCAGACTCCGTGACCC